CCCACACCCACACCCACACCCACACCCACACCCACACCCACACCCACCCTTGTTTTGTGTTTGAACAGCAATATTTTGTCACTTTTTATAAATTATAACGTCGAACAACATCAAACATGAGAGCAAAAAGAAAAAAGCCTAGAGATTGGTTTTCTCTTCGTCAAAACACGTAGTAATATTTCTTCTCGCGGATTATTTTAATGACTGACAAGTGTACAAACACTCAAGCATTTCGTTTTCGTTCTCTGCTTATTAATGAGGAATGTGTGTCTTGATCTTTATTTGGTTTCATAATAAACATCTATAATTTTTAATGAAAAAGACGTTGTCGTCCAATGCAAAAAAAAAAGAAAAAGAAAATCTAAATAGAAAGTAAAGGCACTATAAAACGAGCTACTTTATTTATTCTTTCACCTGCAAAATTTCTCAAGCTACTCAAATATGACTCATTCTTAGTAGAAATAGTAAATAATCAGATCCAATGGCGACTAGCGAATCAAGTGACACAAAAAAAATGAACTCAACATCTGGTCTCTCCGCGCGTGTAACTGCAAATCGACGTATGAATATACAAAGAATGCAAAATGTCTTCTTTATTTGGTTAGACAACAATATTGATGATGATAATGTTGATTGTAATAATATAATCAAGCAACTGAAATGTGTAGTTAACAACATTAACACGTTTACAGATGGTGAAAAATGTATTAAATTTATTCAAACCATTACCAATAACAAAGTATGTATGATTGTCTCCGGGTCACTTGTGAAACATATTGTGCCTCATGTGCACGATATGTCCCAAGTAGACACCATTTTTATTTTTTCTAACAATCAAGAATCGCATGAAAAATGGGCAAAAGAATGGCCTAAAATAAAAGGAGTCTTCACAAATATAACATCAATCTGTAAAGCTCTTAAACAAACTACTCACCAATGTGAGCAAAATGCCATTGCAGTCAGCTTTGTGGCATCAAACAAAAAGTTAGACCAATTAGATCCATCATTTATGTATACTCAAATCTTGAAAGAGATTCTATTAACCATTGACTTCGAGGACAGACATTTTGAAGAATTTATTACTTATTGTCGTGAAGCATTTGTCGAAAACGACTGTGATTTACATAATATTGAAGAATTTGGACGTGACTATCATGATCATACACCTATTTGGTGGTATACTTATCAATATTTTTTATATTCGATGCTCAATCAAGCATTACGGTTAATAGAGGTTGATATTATTGTTCGAATGGGTTTCTTTATTAATGATTTACATCGTGATATTCAACGACTTCACTCGGAACAATTCAATAGCCACCAATCAGGTATAACATTTACAGTTTATCGTGGACAATGTCTTTCAAAAGAAGATTTCACTGAAATGACTAAAACTAAAGGCGGACTTCTTTCATTTAATAACTTTTTATCGACTAGTACAAATCCTGATGTTTCTTTCTGTTTCGCGCCACAAGTTGTTACAAATCCTGATCTTGTTGGAATTTTATTTGTTATATCCATTAATTCGACTGATTCAACAACTCCGTTTGCATCTGTTAGTGATGTTAGTTTTTTTCATGATGAAGATGAAGTTCTCTTCTCTATGCATACCGTTTTTCGTATTGAAGATATTAAACCAATAGATGGGAATAATGATCTCTATCAAGTGAACCTAACATTAACCAATGACAACGATCAAGACCTTCGTACCCTTACTGATCGTATACAACAAGAGACCTTTCCAGATTCGACAGGATGGCACAGATTAGGATTATTGTTGACTAAAATGGGTCATTTTAACAAGGCTCAAGAAGTGCATGAAGTTTTACTTCATCAAGCAACGGATGAAAGCGACAAAGCAAATATTTATCATCAACTAGGTCGGATCAAAGATAGTCAAGGAGAATATCAAGAAGCACTTTCTTATTATGAAAAAGCCTTTGCAATTCGACAACAATCACTTCATCCCAATCATCCTGATTTGGGAGACTCCTATAACAACATTGGTTTAGTCTATGATAACATGGGTGATTATCCAAAAGCACTTTCATCTCATGAAAA